GGGCACCCCTAAAATATACAGCCACCCAAAATCAACACTCATTTGTCAAGAGTGGGTCTTTTTTCCTGAGAAATAAGAAATATGGCATATTGCTCCTCCACGAGCGGATGTGGTAGATGGACCAGTTAACATCTTTAGACAGTATGTCAAATATTTATGTTTCTGTATTAATATGTGTGGAGGAGAATGCATATTTATGACACCGCAGAGGCACACGGTGCAAAGCCAGCTGGTTATCACAGTCTTTAGGAACTGGCTGTCAAATAAAGCCCGGCTCTCCGTTTTTGCCCATTGCCCGTCAGCCTTTGGAGCTGTTTGGTCCTCAGAGACGAGGGATTCCCCAGCACTTCCGAGAGCCGCCGCGACGGCTGTCCTGCAAGCCCCGAAATACCCAAGGCAGGACTCAAGGATAGTGAGGAAAAGGGAAATAAACGATGGTAAAACTCCGTCGTTTCACAGGAAATCCCGCCGGGGGGGGGGGGGGGGATCAGGCTCGGCCTTGAGGGACGCGCCGCGAGGGCAGCCACGGCCTAAGGCCCAACGGCCGCCAACGCCCCCAGCCCCCCGGGTGCACCAACCCCGAGGCCCCGGGGCGACTGCGGGGGCCTGTCCCCGCTCCCCCCCCCCCCCCCAGCCCCGCGCCGCGCCACGCCACGCCACGCCGCGCCGCGCCACGCCGGCGGGAGGCTGTGGGCGCCAGCCTCGGCCCCGCGGCGTGGCGGAGAGGGTGGGAGGCCGGGCCGGGTCCCCCGGCGGGGAGGCGCCGTCCGCCCCCGCGGGCCGGGGGAGGCGCCGCCTGCCACCCTTGGCCGGGGGGCCCCCGCGCACCGCCTCCCCCCGGCCCGGCTCCCCCGCCGCCGCCGCCGCCGCCGCCACGACGGGGCTCATGGCGATTCCCTCGCGCGGCGCCTCACCGCGGGGCGAACGGCCCCAGCCCGGACGGGGCGGTCGGCGCCCGCTCGTCGCCGCCGCGGTGTGTGTCCGTTCCACCCTTCCCCCCCCCCGCCCCGGCTCGTCCCTCCCCTCCGGGGCGAAGTTTGGCCGCCGCTGCCGCCCGTCTCCCCTGGCGCTGCCCGTGCGTGCGGGGCGCCTCCGCCGGTGCCAGGGCCGGGACAAAAGGCACACTGACACGTGATGGGAGCCGGGCTTCATAAATGGGACCGGAGAGGGGCGGAAGGCGCGGGGTGGGTGGGTGGGTGGGGGGGGGGACGCCGCCGTGTGCCGGAGCCGCGCCGGGCGCCCGGCGGCTCCCGCGCTGCCGAGGCGGCGGCGGGCGGAGGCGGTGGCGGTGGCGGTGGCGGAGGCGGAGGAGGGCCGGGGGCGGTGGCCTGGGGTGGGGTGGGGTGGCGGGGGGCGGCACACGGAGAGGTGGCGGGGCGGCGGTGCCCGGCGCGCCGCCTGAGCCCGGCGAGCGAGGGCGGCGGCGGTGGTCGGAGAGGAGGTGCCGAGGGGAGGGAAGGGAAGAAGGGGAGGCAGCCGGGAGGGGAGGGGGGGGGGGGGGGGGGGGGGGAAGAAGTCTCCCACCTCCTCCTTCCCCTCGCCGGCACCGCCTCCTCGGCGCTCCCCAGTGCCGGGGTGCCCGGGCGGGGCGGCGCTCCCGCTCCCTGCCGGGGGTCGGCGCGGCCGGAGCAGGCGGGGGACGCGGCCGGTGCCGTGCGGAGGGTAAGGACGGCGCGGGGCGGAGGGCGTGGGGGGGGGGGGGGGGGGGCGGCGCGGCGGTAGCCGTACGTCCCCCTCAAAGTTTGTTGGCGGCGTGGGTGGGTGGGTAGGGGGGGTATTCCGGAGGGGGTTGACACCGCATGCCCCGACGGCGGAGCGGCCGGCGGGGAGGCGGCTGCCGGCGGGAGCATCCCCTCCCCGGGAGGGGGGGCCGGGGGGGGGGGGGGGGGGAGCGCGGGTCTCGCCCCGGGCACGGCCCCGGGCGGCCGCCGAGAGTTGGAGGGTGCCCCGGGGGCCACCCGGGAACGGCGTGGGGTCCGAGGTGCGTGGTTGGCATTCGGGAACCCGGGCGGAGGACGAGGGGGGGGGGGGGGGGGAACCCCCGGCTGCCGAGGGGGACCCGGCAGCGGGCGGGGGGGTGCGGGGTGCTGCCGGCGTTACGGTCTATTCTTCTGTGCGCGGAGCTGGCTGCCTCCCCGGTTCCCGCAGGACCTTATCTGACATCGGAGACTTCTCCCCTCGTCCTAGCCCACGGGTGATTTACAGCGGGTGGCGTCCAGCCCCCTTTTCCTGTGCACTTTTCCGCCCCAAACTCAGCCGTTGAGGCTGCAACCGAAATAAAAGGCGGTTCGTGATTTTGTGCGCAGTGATGTTCCGTTAGAAGATGTCACTTAGGCATCCAGCATCTCCAGAATATCCCGGTAGGGTTTTTGGTTGGTTGGTTTGTTTTTGTCTGAAATTCGGAGCTCTGGGGGGAAAACAGCCGAAAAAGAGTGAGCTTTTTAAACTTCACGCAGTGTTTGTCATGTGAAATCTTCGTCTGTTGAGAAATAATTCTGAGTAACCAGATGGGCTTATATTAAATGGGCATCTTTTTGTCTCAAAGACGTCTGCAAATCTCCATTGAGAACACCCCTGGATGAGGTATGTACCAAGCCTTTGGTGGGAGAGAGCTCGTTACTGTGATTTCAGTTTGATTAAGTAAAATGGTGTCGGAAGATGAAGTCCATAGTTTTCCTTCTTTCTCTAAAATTACCATCGGTGTTGTTTTCTGTATCGCAACAAATGCTCATATTAACAGTTTCAGCACATGTTTTCTTCTTTCAGAAGATAAAGGGGCGTATATAACATAGAGTCAGATAGCAAAATACTCCTTCATGAGTATCTACAAGTTTGTTGTTTTGTTTTTTTTTTTTTTTTAAAAAGCGGTGTGGCTTTTTTGACCTGTTAAAGGTGTAGTAATGTTTCTTTCTTTTTTTTCCTCCCCCTTAGATGTATCGTCTTGTTTTCATTGTTATTGTTCACCTTTTCTTAAAGGAATATAGCATTCTCTGCTGGGGGTGGCATTGCTGTTCACATGTACCAAGATCATGCAAAAGATCAGAGTGATATTTAACATGATTTTTAATAACAAAATGTGCAACATTGCAAAAATTACTTGGGTGTGCTTAATTTTTTTCGGATTACTCCCCATATCAACTGCCAGCATAGGTTTTCCCTTCTCGAGAAAGGAGAAAAACCTTGTGACTATAGTAGGAACATTTATTATGCAGGCAGAGTTTATTAAATCAGACGTAAAAGAAATGAACGTAACAGCTTTAAACAGTTTAGAAGATGAATGTGTAATTCCCGATTTGCTTGAGGTTAAAATTAGTTTTGTAGCAACCAGGAACAGCTTTGCTTTATTATCTGTTGGTCTTTGGAATGAGAGGCAGAACCATTTGAATAAAAACATTTTAAAGCAGAATTGATAAAAGCAATAACTGACTGAGCCAGCAGGCATCTATTGCCAGGGGGGGAAATAAAGTTGGCTAGGTAGAGAAATCCACTATTTGCTGGGAATTTAGCTCGTCAACCATTCAGTAACACCTAAACCCACAGTAATCAAATCAAAATACATCTAAAACTCAGGATGAAGGTGGAAGCAGGTTATAGTGTCGTGAGGATGAGCCGGTGTGTGCCTTTGATCCTGGCTGTTGTTCTTTGGTGAATTATGTTAGCTCAGTTGCATAAAGGACCCCATTAAGGGCTTTCATGCTCTGCTGAAGGAATGGCAAGGTCTTAGCCAATGCAAGAGTTTCTTTCCCTTTCTCTATTCACAGGTTTCTGATTGGGCAACGGAAGTTTAGAAATGAAATAACTTTTTTTTTTCTTTTTTTAAGTAATTTCTGACTTCCAGCCTTTAATGTGGCTGTCCCAAAATGCTTGCGGACTGTCATCCCACTGGGAATTTTGGTGCTGAAAGTGTTACGCGCTAGAGAGGGAGAGCTGGGGTGGCTTTCCTTTCTATTGAGTAGAGGTAGGTGAGGAGATTAAGAGGCAAGGGAGAACCCAAACCCATATATTCACTTAGGTAGTACTGCCCAATAATTTTACAAATACATTGCCATTCCTGGTTCTTCAGGACTCGTGTATTTGTCTTTCACTCATCTAGTTTGTCTACTTCTGCACGTTTTAAGAGAAATTCATGTAGCTTCTCTGATGCAAACTTTGTGACCTCTCTCTGGTCATGCCGCTGGCTATGTTGGCACCCACAGAATTAATTTTTCTCAACAGTAATTTCTCTTCATTTCTTCGCAGATGTCTATATTGGCTTTATCCGAGTTTCCTCCTGAAACAGAACATGAGTTTAGATATGTTTTGCTGCAATTTCGCAAATAGGTTAGGCTGTGTAAAATAATGAATACTCTACAAAACTACTCATTGGCCATGTAAGTGAGAATTGGGAGATTTTTCTCTTTCCTAGCAGCAAATTCACACAGTTTGTTGCTGATTTAAAATATGTACTGCGGGCGACCCCAACACTGGGGTTTGGCCAAGTTCAAAGCAGCTGTGCAGATGGACACAGAAGACAGAAGGCAGAGGGAAATAGACCCTTTTAATCATAACAAGGCTGCTCTTGTTTTCCTGTCTATAGTGGAAATGCATGCCAGCCCCTCGTACTTAAAAGCAAGCTTGCAAATGTGCCAGAATAGACAGCAACAGCATTTGTTATTAATGCAAAGTTAAAAATGTGACAACCTGTCTTCTCAGTACTGCTCTTTATGTCTCCATTTCTAAACTGATGTGTACTGTTGCAAAAAGTGCACATCTGATTGCTGTTGGTGGGATAAGAATTTCCCCGCCAGAACTCAGGCTCTTTGAAAGTGCATGGCTTTGTTAATGATTGCTGAAACCAGCCACGACCTGTCCTTTTGAAATGGTTATAATGACTTATAAATCAATTTCTCGTTAGAAAGAACTTTTTTTTTTTTCTTTTTCCCGAAGGTGCCATTGTTGCCCATGAAAAATGATTGGGTTCGCAACATAAGGTTAGAGCACATTTTATTCTGCCGTTTGTGCCTCATGCAGGGGCATTATGGTGGTGCACACACCAAGCCTGGTTCTGCCTCTCTTCAGTAGGAACATCATTTTTTCATCAACGCTACTCACATCCAAATTACAGATAAAATTTCACTACTCCATGTGTTAGTATAGTGTCGCTCCTTATACTTTGGCTGGACTGTTGGTGAAACTGGATGTTTTACACGCTTCAGATATTGTCTTGTTTGTGTAGATCAAGGCTAGATGGACTCAAATAGTACATCATCCTGTATTAAGCTGCTTTATGGCAGTTGTATATTCTTAAGAAAGGTGTGCTTACTCACTACAAAGTACTGAGCAGGAACGGTTCTGTAGGGAACACTGTCAGTTCTCTTTCAGCCCTCACTGGACTAATTTTCATATTTATGCATTTTAGGAAACCTTTCAAAGCTTGTGCTTGGGGGCTTAGGGGGCTCTCACCTTCCCGTTGTGGTGAATATGTGAAACATGCTCTGGGAAACAACTGGTTTTAGTCAGTTCTGCCTCTCTTTTAAACAATGCAGTACTAGAGTCCAGACTATGCATGTGCCTGGAAAATTAGGTGTCACAGGTTTGTAGTGTGTATATAGGTACCTATCTGTGTATATACGTGCAAAATAATTTTTAAGGGATCTCAGTGACAGATATACATGGTTTAGATTCTTGCTTTTCCTCAGGAAGGCTGTGTACAGGGGAATTCAAAAAGATATTCAGCAGTCATCTTGCCTATATTTCTTGTACCTACACTTCTAGCTTGTCTGCTTGTCCTCTGGCACCAGGAATTTGAGTTTACACATGACAAACACTACTGCAGCGTTTGTGAGACTTTAGTTGTTCCTCTAGGCATGTATATGTGTTTGTGTATGTCTATCTGTAAGTTTATGCATAGTAATATATATATATAGATACACACACACAAATAAAAAGTCATAACTCATCCCTCAGTATCTTTTAACTATTTCTCCAAATCTGATATCATATTGGCTGGAGTATCTCCGCAATTTGTTGTTCTGGCTACTTGGATATCAGATTCTACTGTAACTCTTTCTCACTTCTCCTCTTCTCTCTCTCTCTCCTTTTTTTAAAAAAGAAAAGCATCTGCATATTTCGAAGACATGCACCATTGCCAAGCAATCTGGTGTAGTGGCTTAATATGCTGGCAAATAATTTCACAAGTTGTTTGTGTGTGTGAAGGCAGTATATTTGAATATCATTATATTCTGAATGTAGGAATGAAGAGAGTTATCTGAGCTTATTTAAATTTTGTGAAAGGCCAGACAGCTCCAGAAATGAAAGAATGTTTTACATTTTTTAATTGGAGTGCGTATTTTCATCCTTCGCTAATGCTGATGGAGTGGGACATCGCGTTTACGAAAAGTCTTTCTGCCCTAGCTTCTGAGGACTGCCAATAAAATTTTTGGGAGAAGTAGACTCCAGAGGACAGAGGTAGGAGGGATGTTGCTTTGCAATGTGTTGTTGACCTTCCGTGCACTAACTTTCTGTCATTACCGGTAAACACCTCTTCCCTTTCGGTGTTTATGTGCTGTACGGGGCACTCAGTGGCTCCATTTGAGCACTTTCTCTTCCTTTCCACCTCTGAGGTCCATATCCCGTGCTGCATTTTCCTTGAGCAGCTTGATTTTTATTAATGTCCCCAGGCAGATTTGCTCAGCTGATCTTTCCCGAGTGTCCCCAGCTCAGTCCCATGTGTCAGTGCATACAGTGCTGTCCTTTTCTGTGACCTTACCCAGGATGGCTTCTCAGAGCCCTCCGCATCTCCCTTTGCCATTTGAATACAGATCAGAAACGGACTTTCAAAAGAGCAAGTCATTGCCTGCAGAGCAGTGGGTCAGTTCTTTCTTTACAGTGAGATCTGAAAATCCCACTAGCCATATCCTTCAGCTTACAGAGGTGTCTCTGAAGTTCACGTAGCATGGAAGAGGAGGGAGGTTTTCTCTTGCGGGCTTTCTCCTTCACCTGCTCTGCTTTCCCCAAGCTGATCACAAGGGCAATTCATCTTTCCCCTAAAATCTGCATCCCTGACTCCCAGGAGGGGCTCCTTCCATTGGGTCTTCCTCTCTTACCTTTCCCTGGTTTGCTCCCGTCTCACCTGGAGACGTCCTATTCCCTGTGTGAGGACAGTAGTTCTCTCTCCTCCCAGTCCCCTTCTCACCAGTCACTTAACCCGCATTACCTTTGCTCTCAGCATCTCCTTGCTATCTTACAAAGTCTTTGATTAAAACTTCTTACGGGCACAGTTTGTTGCAGGGGGAGTAGGAGGCAGGCATGCACTCTGTGCAGTTTATGAGAGTTCTCCCTCGAGCCTGATGTTTTTGCTACCTTTCTGTCTCTAACTCTTTCAATAAAGTTCACTAATGTTTTCTGCTGCAACAAATTCTTGGCCTTTTCTGTTCTGCTTTGGCCATTACATGGAAGCTGTTTCCTTGGAGTGGTTATCTCTTTTCCTATTATTATTTTATTTTCCCTAATAAATGTGGTTTTCCCTCAGTTTCATCCTCTAGGCGTTACATTCCTCTGGGGACCTTTGGCGTTTAGCATCCAGCGGAGCCTGATTCTTTTATGTCCTGCTCTGCTCTTTCAAACGACTTCTCTCCCTTCAACTACACATTGTGTGCTAAGCTGCTGTCTCTTCTAGGTAATTCCAGGAGACTGAGTGTTCAGCCCCCACCTCTTTTGCACCTGGCTGGGCTTCTCTGTCTCCATTTAACATTTATGTCAGTTCTGCTCAGGAGTAATAAGTGCCTGCACCTTTTGGCATTAGAGAATGGCTGGAAATAAAGCAATTTCTGTTGGAATATTGAAATCAAAGATAAACCCTTTTGTGAAAAAGTTTGAGAGTTCAAAATTGACCAGCTTAATGAGTTCTCTTCCATTTTCTTTAAAATGTAAATACCATAGCATTGTGTCAAAGTTTTTGTATTACCTGTTCGTTCTGCTGTTTTGGGAAACGGGTCCCTAAACTGGAGCTGGTTTTAAGCAAATACCAGGTCACTCTTACTTCGCTGTTTCCCTTTCATCTGAGCTTTTCAACACTTCAGCAATCCTCTTCATCCTCTCCTGAAATTCTGTCTTTAGATGAAATTAAGACATATAAAGTAAACTGTGGAAGATCTTAAAATTCCATGTTGTTTTAAGGTAGCCACCTCTGCCTTCCTTCCTTTCTCCCAAAAGCCTGGCAGACCAGGTAGCTGTAGTTTCCCATTAACGTGACCCTGACTGTCCCCTTGCTGGTTTGCGACTACATTACTTCATCTTGTTTCCAAATTGGTAGGAGATGTGTGTGTAGGGGGTTGTATTTCACAAGCTGAGGGGTTTCTGGTGAACTCAGGAGCCCTGGGGGTTTTTCATGGGCAGATGGGGCAGCTGCCCTTGCTCTTCGCCCTGCGGCTGGGTGGGATGTGGGAGACACATCCTTGGTTTGCGTAATTCAGAGAAAGGATTTTCTAAGCCTCTTGCTTTCCAGGCGTGCAGGCTGCCTGCTGGAATGTCAGTTGGTGCCTTTATATCTGGATGTTAAACTCTTGATCCAATGTGGAACAGCTCAATCAGTTTAGAGACCGGCAGCAGAACGGAGAGGCTGCCAGCAGGCTCACGTGGCTCGCAGGAGAGCAACGTTCGGGTCCTTCACCTGCACCAAACAGAGCAGGACTTCAACCTCGCTCTGATCCTCTCTGATCTTAGACACACACATATGCCCTGGATGTTTGGAAGGTAAGGCACAGCCAGCCCCTTTCTCTCTGTGCCTGCAGGTCACCTGTGCTAAAGCTGATACACACATCTCAACAACAAAACTTTGGAGGGAGGAAACAATGTTATTTCTTTTTAAAACATTATTGTTCACTGATTAATGCTCTGTTTTCCCCCTTGGTTTGTTTTTGTCATTCAGATTGTCAGCTAATGGATGCTTGGGGGTGTCACACAGGGGCAGTTTGCCCCCAGATTAGAACAACCCAGCCGCTATCCTGCTAGTGTGCAAACGGTATGTTAATTAACATAAATAACCATGTGTCTGTGGTTTCTTGCTAATTAGGGTTCAACTTGCCAAGGATCTCACATTACATAAGAACAAAATTTGGTTCAGTACTCGCATGCCCTAGTTTACCCAACAGCTGATAGTGCCTCTCTGTAACTAGAAGATAGCATCCCTCGTTTGCTCCTCTCCTGCTGTCTGTGCTCCTTTCCCATCCCTCACACAGAGAAAATTCCCAGTGAAGTGAATGCAAGTTTTCCTGAATTAGGAGTGACAGCATATTTGCCATTTATAGCCTAGGAGTAGCACAGTGTTGAAGATGGAGTAGTAAAACAGTAAATAGGGTAGGGATAACATTGCTTTCACATTCTTGTCGACGTGTTTTTCCCTTGCTTGGTGTTACTGAGTCTTAGAGTGCCATTTCTCAGACTGCACATTTCTTTCTCCAAGGCTTAGAAACCTTGTTCTGCCCTCGAAGCAGTATTGTTCATCGCCATATGGATAAGGTAATTATTAGCCATATAAATTTTCATTTTATAGGACAGTTCTAATTCCTGGAGGCCAACAGTTACTATGGCAGATCTCATTTCTCTCACACTTTTTCAGCTGACTACACATGAGTATAAATTACTGCTGTTTCTCTTGTGGTAGTACTTTGTGGACCCAGTGTACTGGGCACTATGCAAACTTAGCAGAAGATAAAGCCCTTCTCTGAAGGACTTAAAAGCCTCATAATGTGTAAGCAAGGAGAATTCATTTGCATATTTTTGTGCATTCAAAAACTGTGTTTCAATTATACCTACTTGTCCTTTAGCCTGTTCTTAATTAGCTGTGGGTATCATTGAAGAAATGTATAGACATGGAAATCAAAATATTTTCTAAAATAGAAGCTAGAAAGGTTTGATTGTGGATTTCTCTTTCTTGCTTTAATTCCTTTTCTTGCTACGTCAACATTTTTGCAGTTATCAGTAGCATCATTGTATTGCTCATAATTGCTTTACGAGGAAGAACGCAAATATTCACTGTTTCTATTCAGGCTATTGAAATTGCTCTATCAATCATCCTGGTTTGAAAATTATAGTAAATTCAGCCCTTTTTTTAGACATTAAAAACTTCCCAGCCTTCCCTCTCCCCCAGAACAGCAGGAGAAGATAGGTCATAGCATTTCAATGAAGTCACGTTGTGGTTCCCTGAGTGAGCTGGTCCTGTGGACCAACAAGAAGTCCAGGGGAGGTATAGTTCTCCCTGTTGCCCAAGATGAATTGCCAGCCTTTTATGTATTACATACTTTATATTTTACATTTTACCTAAGGGGTCTTTATGTTCTGGTAGCATCCAAGCTTCCCTTAAGGCTATATGGAACCACACAGTGGAGGGCAGCAGTAAGACTTGCCCCCTGAACTCTTAACTCAGTTTTTAGCTTTGAGGGCAAAGCCTTACAAAGTTGTGTTTTTCAACCTTCAGCTGACGTTTAACACCTCATATGTTTGAGGTAAAGCGGGCTGGAAAAAAAGGCTAGAGGAAGTTGAATCCAGGCCTCTGCAGACAGCTACGCAGCGTGTTTGTAAAAGCCACTCCATCTAGTGGCAGTCACTTTGCACAGCTGGTCTGGCAGTGCCCATCAACAGCCCCCAGTCGATGGGAGTAAAGTCTAAAATGGTGTTCAGCTATGGGTTTTCTGGTTTTCATCTTCAAGGTAAAAGATGCTTGAAATTCTTATCTATTGCTTAATCCCTATCCGTAATCATAATTCATTACTTACTGTGAATCGCTGCATGCAGTCATGGAAATACATCAAAAATTTTGAGTGCTGGCATCAGCACAGGCTCTTCTTCATTGTTAATCAATGTTTCAGTTCTTTTTCAAAGCTGTTTTGAAGTGAGTGAGGTAGCAGAGCTGGTTTAAGGAAGGGGTGAAGCTGGGAGCTCCGGAGGCTCTGTTGGAACGCTGGGTTCGGCAGGGCAGGGAGCCTGTCCCTCAGCAGGGCATGGAAGCTCCCCCTCACTGCCACCCTGCCCCCGAGGGGACCTTGCTGCATCACCCGGCCGTCACCCCAGCCCCATCCTGAGAGGAGGGATCTGTGCGGAGGACCCTTGTCCTGTAGGAAGGCTGTGAGAAGCCACAGAGGCTCCCAGGGTATTTCGTGCAGAGATGGTGGCAGGTCTTGGGCACTGTGGGTTTGGGCTGTGTTGAAGCCAGCTGCAAAGAGCAGTGTGGCCGGGCGGAGTGGGGTGACCCGTTTTTGTGGGCAGCGCCGGCTCGCCATTCCAGGTTTGGACAGAAGAGCTCGGAGCCAAAATTTGTGCGGCACTGGCGCGTGCACCTGACCGAACGAAAGATCGGGAAGCAGAGCACTGCTGCTGCCATTGGCTTTTCAGTCTGTGTGAAACCATGCAACACCTCAGACTGGGACTGGGACTCTTGTGATAACCGCAGTGCTAAAGGTCCAGTCTCATTTTCACTAGACAGCCATGGAAAAACCTCGCTGATCTCTTCAGTGTGTTTCTTATACTGGGACAAGCTAGTATCTAAATGGAAATAAACGAAATTCCACTAAAGCGCTATTCCCGATCAAGCGAATAGCTGTTCTACTGCAACTTTAATAAAAATCAACTGCTACTTGAATAGGTGCATGCACACAAACTGCTAGAAATTTCCAATTATAATATTCCCAGCAGCAAACAAAAACAAGATTAATGTCAGCTGCATCCCCCAAAGCCTAAACTACACCGCTAATGAACTCCCAAGTACTCTCAGAGAAAACTCTCTTTGCAGAGACAATAAGGTGGAAATTACTGTAATAATCTCAATGTAAAAATACAGAGGGAAAAAAATCATTGAAATTCAGAGTAAGACTTGCCTCTCCTGATCCCATTAACCATGTTGTTAACATAGCATATGCATGCATAGTGATATTGTCACATAACTCACTGCCACCTTCAAAAGAGCACGCAGGAATTCGTGTTCTTTCATTTGTATTTCAAACAAAGGTAGGGGTTGCACGGCGGCTTGCACCTTATGCTGAGGAAGTCTGTACTTAACATGACTCCAGCAGGGACCAGCTACCTCATAACAATTTGTTTGTCTGTCTAGCAGAAGTGAGCAGTTGCATACAATTTTTGAAGCTTTACTCAAACATAATCTTCTCGACATGGGGCTGTGGCTTTAATCACTAGAATGGTTGTCTTTTTTCTGTCAGAAATAAGCTGGAATAACAGAGAATACCACAGCCATCTTTACATGTTGATAGGACTACTCGATTTATTTAATACTTTTGGGGTAGTTTTTAAATGAATAACAGATTCTTCACTTCTGGTTTTAAGCTGCTGTTATAATGCCAAATTTAAAGTTGCCAGATTTCACCCAAAGCAGGTTTGTCAGTTGTCAGCAGGGTCATCTTTGCAACATGTAACATCTGCAAGTTCTGCTAGGAACAGCTGTAAAGCACCTTCTGGAAGAAGAGTATCTTACATATTAGATTATTGCTGTTCATGTTTATCGTGTGCTTCAGTGACATTTCCTTCCCTCACTGCTCGCACCCTCAAAGTTTAATTCCTTAATATTGTCTAATAATTATGTTATTTGCTGAGCAAATGATGTCTGCAAAAGTGGACTCAGCCAGTATGTGTTGTGTGTTAGACTAACCCAGTAAGGGTTGTTTATACTCATCCTTGTTTGCAACACTGAAATTGCAGTGTCTTCTGGAGGTCCAGGTTCATATATTCCCTTTAACACTCAGTGTCCAGGCCTGCTGAATCAAATGCAGAACTTTAAAGAACTATGGAAAAGTCTCAAGTGTTCAGATGCTATATGTAAGTGCAGTATAAATACCTCATCAGCCAGATGATCTCTGCTTCTTTTGGAAATGCTCATGATTTCTTCTGGTTTTAAGTACTGGTATTGTTGTAGAGAGGAAACCTCTTCTTCTTTCTTTAAGTTTTCATGGGAAGACTGAGCTGTAGTACCTACTGTGCAGGTCTCCTCTTTAGGAGTTGAGGTGATCAGCACTCTGGGTTTTGGCAGTTAGTTTCTCGTGGCCTTTCTGGCTGTTCATTGTCAGCTGTGTAAAGTGAACAGGTTAAGTCAGTACAAGCCTATATATGGCATCTGGGACATCTGTCACAAATAATTTCCTCCGTTCTAAAAGCGTGAAGAAGCTTGGTTTTGCTCCTGTTGCCGATGTAATCATTGAGATGTCCCACAGCAGATGCAGAATAGCTGTAGCACACCGAAGCAATCATTCTGGCTCTTATTTACATTCACACCACTCTCAGCCACTCTGGCAATGGAAAGGGGCCCTAAAGCAGATGTTCAGTGCATATTCAAGGCAGGTTATATGGGCAAAGTTATATAAAGGAGCACAGCATAAGAAGAGCGGTAAGACCTGTCTTAGCTATTGATGCATATAAGATGCTCAGATGCTGATGAGGGTGCTCTCCCAAGGGTACCCTGGCCAGGAGTTACATCCTGCAATTAATCACCATCCACGAGCAAAGGCTGAGCGTGATGGGACTCAGAGACCACCAGCTACCCAGGGACCTTCAGGTAGGCTCCCCATTTCTGAGGGAACAGAATGCTTTTGAGGGTGTCCCAGTGGGACGAGTTACTTTTCCATGCTTTGCGCAGGAGCAGTGGCTCCTGGTCCCTTTTGCCTGGAGTTTTGGCCAGAGCTGCACTCTGACCCAAACTTGATGCCATGTTTTTCTAGGCAAGGGTGAACTGCCCTGGTTGAGGCTTCTGATCTACACAGAATGGATCACTGATGCACTCACTGACCTAGCAGTGATGGTCAACTTTCCTGAAACTTTGGACAGGGCTGGGTAACAATCCACCTTCCCCCATATAGCCCAAACATCCCAGTTACCTTGGTTTGCATAGCAGAAGGAAGGGATAGAATAATGAAGCTATATCCAGATCCCTATATTTGTAGATTAAATACCTTGCTAATAAATTTGCAATAACAAATTCATGATGTTAGTAGACCTCAGAGTGCTGTAACAGGGTAATGTGAATATATAGGCATACAGGGTGAACTCTGGAACTTAGAGTGCTCTTTACCCGTTCCCTCTCTGTTGTCAGATTTTCAAAATGCTCAGTTCCTTTTAAAAGAAAAGCAGTGAAAGTGATGATTCAGTTTAATGCTGCTCCTGCAGTGGCACATGGTATTATCTAAATGAAGCAAGTCCAAGGAATATTGGTCTGCAAGGTACTTTGCAATCAGAAGCCAAGTTGAGGTCTAGAGAAAAATATCTGTCTGGTGGAGTGACTCGGAAGGTTTTGTTGAGAAATGAAAATTACTTTCCTGTGGAATACTCAATTCCCCATGCCTCCATTTTTTATGTCACTTCTTAGTGTAGTTCAGTTTTAGTGAAATCCAGGTGATTCCTTTCTAAGTGCTCAACTCACCCTGATTCCTGCACGTGGCAAAGACCTACACTGAATACAAGAGGAAGGTCGATTTTGTTTGACACAGTTCAACTAAGTTGTTTGTGGAGTTTGTCTCCCTGTTTATCTTAATGAAGTCTGATCTTTTCCCCTTCTAGGAGTTCCTTGGATGCACTTTTCCCTCCCCTGAGCCTCTCTGAAACCAACAAGACTGGGGTTATGAAGTCAATCCTAGATGGCCTCGCAGATACAACTTTCCGAACAATCACGACAGATCTCCTTTACGTGGGCTCCAACGATATCCAGTACGAAGACATGAAAGGCGACATGGCATCCAAGCTGGGTTACTACCCCCAGAAGTTCCCTCTCTCTTCCTTCAGGGGTGATCCTTTCCAAGAAAAAATGACTGCCGGAGATGATCCCCTGTTGAGCATTATTCCCTCAGATCAGGTCAACATCACAGAGTTTTACAATAAGTCCCTGTCTACATTTAAGGATAATGAAGAGAACATACAGTGTGGGGAGAACTTCATGGATATGGAGTGCTTTATGATCCTGAACCCCAGCCAGCAGCTGGCCATCGCCGTGCTGTCGCTCACCCTGGGCACCTTCACAGTCCTGGAGAACCTCCTCGTCCTGTGTGTCATCCTCCACTCCCGAAGCCTCCGGTGTAGACCCTCCTACCATTTCATCGGCAGCCTGGCTGTGGCTGACCTCCTGGGCAGCGTGATTTTTGTCTACAGTTTTGTGGATTTTCATGTTTTCCACCGGAAGGACAGCCCCAACGTCTTCTTGTTCAAACTGGGTGGAGTTACAGCCTCCTTCACCGCCTCTGTAGGTAGCCTTTTCCTCACGGCAATAGACCGATACATATCTATACACAGGCCACTGGCTTACAAAAGGATTGTTACCCGACCAAAGGCTGTCGTAGCTTTTTGTGTGATGTGGACCATTGCTATTGTAATAGCCGTTCTTCCTCTGCTCGGCTGGAACTGCAAAAAGCTCAATTCCGTTTGTTCGGACATATTCCCTCTCATCGACGAGACATACCTGATGTTCTGGATCGGGGTCACCAGCGTCCTCTTGCTGTTCATTGTCTATGCCTACATGTACATACTGTGGAAGGCTCACAGCCACGCTGTTCGCATGATTCAGCGGGGCACGCAGAAAAGCATCATCATTCAGTCTACTGAGGATGGTAAGGTACAGATCACTAGGCCTGATCAAACTCGTATGGACATCAGGTTAGCCAAAACCTTGGTCCTTATCCTAGTCGTTTTAATCATATGCTGGGGCCCTCTCCTCGCCATCATGGTGTACGATGTCTTTGGGAAAATGAACAAGCTCATCAAGACTGTCTTTGCCTTCTGTAGCATGCTCTGTTTGCTGAATTCAACAGTGAATCCCATCATCTACGCTCTGAGGAGCAAGGACTTGCGACACGCCTTCCGCAGCATGTTCCCCACCTGCGAAGGGACCGCGCAGCCCCTCGATAACAGCATGGAGTCTGACTGCCAGCACAAACACGCCAACAACGCGGGGAACGTGCACAGGGCTGCCGAGAGCTGCATTAAGAGCACAGTTAAGATTGCCAAAGTTACAATGTCTGTCTCCACAGACACGACTGCTGAAGCGTTGTAAGTCAGAGACTTCTCAGCGTTGTGAGAAAAGGAGTTAGTTTAACAAAAAAAAAAAAAAAAAATCAACAACAGAGAAAACCAAACCCGTGGCTTAACGTGTTTGTACCCTCCTGTAATATTTTTTTGGTTTGTCATTGTAAGCTGAGCAATGATTGTGTTAAGAGCATTACCATCAGCCAGTTCTTCAGGTTTTACAATTAGGGATTCAAGCTAAATTTTCAAAAGGTTTTTTTTTCTCAAAAAGTGTTTACTGAATAATGGTAAGTTTCCAGAAAGAGCACAGAGAAAATAACAGGTTAGCAATGGTTCCTTTAGGGGGTGTGAAGAAAAATTGTGAAACCTAATTGAAAACTAATTCATCCTAAACCAATACCATCAAATATGAAAAAAAGCCTTGTAATCATGCTGTTCATTTCAATGTGAAGTGTATTTCATGTCTGTAAGTAATAAGAGTTTTTGATTTTTTTTCCAAAAGCGGCAGTGCTAAGTTTTAGAGGTTTCGTAAAACGTGTCGTGTCCTGTGAATTGTATGCTGTTTTATTATGTGTTATTGATATTTGTCTGATTAAACAAAGTGATAAGGTAGACTTCCGTGGAAATAATGTGAAACGTGATATGTAAACCCCATTGAAAACACTTAACTGTATTTGAAGAATTCCTATGAGCTATTTTGGAAATTTTACACTTTTAGTGGTCTTCTGTGGACTTAGAGGAGAGGCTTTGTGTTCTTCTACTAAAATTATTTCCCCACTACCTTTTATTTTCACATGCATACGAGAGTAACAGCAACAAAGGAATAGAGGAGGAATGTAAGAGAGGAATGCACTGGTTCTGACTTTTAAATACCACTGCGTTTATACAGAAGGATGTTTATGGTTGTACAGACTATTGCCCTGCTCTTGGGCATTGTGTGAATACGAACACTGAAAAGCGAAGGTCCCGGATATTGGCTCCTTTAATGGGCAACTGGTTTTAAGCCACGTGCTGGTGCTGGACCACTGAAGACAGCATGTGTCAGACTCAATGTGCGATGTTATCACTGTGCAGTCAATGTATACTTGAAGTGTGTCGCATTCCTGTATCCCAGGTTTAAGCAGATTCAGAGCCTGAGATGCCAAACTCCCGTCTTCACTAAAAGAGGAGGAAATATTGTCAGACTTAGACATTTTCTTATTGTGTGAGCGTGTATATAAATAAATATCTATGTGTGTGTACGTGTGCGTGTGCGTGTGTGTGTGTAAGTATACTAATCAGTGTGAGTCATGGTAGCATAACTAAGATAGGACACTATGACCAAATGTAAACTGTATTTCTTGTTGCACGCTTTGCACATGAATTCTGTTTCTAAAATTGCGTTCTTCCAACTGATTACTGATGAAAGTACCGTATTAAGAACATCCCGATCTACTCTGAGAGGTGTATCCACGTGCTAGAGAAAGCAACCTTTCAGTTGTACTTGAGAATAAGGGGAAACAAGAGGCTGAGCATGGCATGAGCCCGCACTGACAACTGCAGTGGCTGTTGATGGTGTTCCTGAAAACTGAGAAAGCCAGAAATAAATGATAATTTGCTTTAAGGCCGCCAGTATTCAAATCTGATTCCTTGCAGTGAGGTGAGTCTCACTGTGAAACCAGGATACAGATGACAAGGTTTGACACTATCAGCTTCGAGGAAGAAGTTTTTGAAGGAAAATGGTGACTGTTCCATGGTGGAATTGGTTCTGAAGCCTGGGACTTTCACAAGGAGCATGTTACTGGATAGTCTTTGAGGCATAGATATTGTGTAATTCTGTTCTGATTCAGAAGGTCTGGGGTCCTCTTCTCTGCTCCCTTGCTTTTTTTTTTTTTATTTCAGCCTTCTGGCTGATTTCTGCCAAAATAGCTGCAAAGGCAGCTTAGCCCGTTAGCTGCCTGACGCTTGCCACAAGCGGGGTGACTCCCTCTGTGCCACCGGGCGAGTGGAGCCAAATCCGCGCTGCCCCGCTGCCTGTCCTCGGGGTTTCGGAGGGAGGGAGAGGGGGGTGGCAGCCCTCGGCCTCTGGCCACCGTGGTGTCCCCATGGCATTTCTGATACCTCAGTGCAGTCCAGAGCAGCCGGTAGCACAGAGGGCCCAGCCGATTTCAGCCAGTGGCTCTGCGGAGGCGTAAGTGGCTGCAAGTTCAGGTTTGGTGAGGGGGGGGCACATTTAAAGATTTCATCAGGCAAGGTGCTGAGCAGCAGCTGGAAGACACAGGGGTATTTTCTTCCTCCCCTCCGCTGCAGCTTACCTGGGTGGTAGGACAGGGCACCCTGTTCTCGAGGGGGGTTGCAGCAGTCAGCCGAAACTGGCAGATTACAGATGATCCCTGGGGGAAGTGCGAGTCCTCCTGAAAGATCTTTCTCATATCTAGGTCTAGTCCATCATAAAGCAGTCCTCTTGGAGGAGGCAGGGAAAGCCTGTTTGAAATGTAAAGGTATTTTAAGAGCCATTTTTGAAACACACTTCTTGTGAATTAAATGCAAACTTCGTGGACTTTTGTTGTGCATTCAAGTTCTAAATTTTACATGATAAATCATGGGACAATGGGGCTGTCTTGGCACTTAACTTGGTGCTTACTGATATAATAAGAAATAGCATCCTGTGAAATGTTACTGTCTATTATCAGTATCTTCATTTGCATAATGAGTTTTCCTAAAGCTCTGGGAACTGTGTTGGTTCACTTAGAACCATTTATTAAAGAGGCGGCAACAATTTCCCTACACGTTGTGCACTAAGTAGAATTTATCTTTCATTAGAAAAATCTGCTGCCGTTCCAAGATAAACTGTACTTAAACTTCAGCTTTAGGTATTCCTAATTTTCAGTTGCCTACCTTCACTTAGTGATAGCACAGCCAAACAAACAATACTGTGTTCCACAGCCATCCACACCGTCATCATCAACCAACCAACGATAGTTGCAGTTACGTATGCGTACCGACTCCAAGTGTTGTGTATCTACTGAGAAAACCATCTATGTCACATGCGTGCAGAGTTAGATTCTCAACAGTCTAATTGTATATTTGTATAATATAATCTCCTTGATGCTGTGCAATCACTATCCACATCTTCTTGCACTGGCCTTTCGATGAAAATTTTAGTGTGTCTGTTGTGAGATAGACAGCGCATTTTACCTGCTGTTACTGGGTTGAATGTATGTAAATAAGTGAAAAATAAAAAAGTCATCTGTACAAGCAGTGGCCTAAAAAGCCTGTAATTGTAGACTAGGACAATTGTTGAAGTTGCTGTGACATCTCAAATACTACCTTTGAATAAATTGTTTACAGGGTCTCTTGGGATGCTGTTTCATAGTGAAAGGAAAATCTTTCCTTGTGATAATATGAGGTAAAGAAATTGGATTACCTGAGCTTTTTATTTCCAGTGTTTCAAAGTGGAGAACATAACTCTTTATTGTCTGTAAATCTAACATTATTACTTCCTCTTAGAAGAATATTGTATCATTAGATGTTTGTTTGAGCTGGTAACATCCTTGCAACTGCTGCAATATTTTTCATTAGCAACCTGTATAATAGTTTGTACACAAGTACTGTTCAGATTGTCATGAAAAGTAGCTTTGACCATTTACCTACCAGTAGCAGAATAGTATTTCTGTAAGATTTCCAGTGTATTCCTACCATATCATATTTTATTTCTATAATGTAATTAAACTGTTATTTATTCAAGGAGAAAAAGTATTCCTCTACTTTTTTGTTTTCCAAATTTTGAGTTAACTGAGGAAGCCACGTGATGATGCTGCCTCATCCCACAATCTGGTGCTCTACGTTTTGTTTATAAGTTTGTCTGTCAGATTCTGAAACAACTGCTTAAACAACTTGACAACAGGTTGTCAAGCTTTGTGGGTTTTAATTGTACGTTGATATGTTTGAAGGAGGAGGTAGATTATATGTTTTATATTTGTGTATTCAGTACTATGGAGACAAGAGAGAAATTACATAGTTAAAACTGAATCTCCTGTTTCATTATGTAGGCAATTTCCCCTTTCCTCTGTATTAGCCAAAATGCAATAAATCTCTTTTGCCTTCCTCAGATGCATATGTTTGCACAAAGATGTCACATTAAGACAAACCCATATACTTCAGAAAAACAAAAAGAGCAGAAGAAAGGAATACAAACTAAAATAGTGCTTCCAGGAGCAGCGGTGGCCTAAATAGTTATTGGGGGCTTGTAAACATAATCAAAGACTTGAGATGAACAAAAAGTTAGTCTAATTTTGGGCAATACCAGTGGGGGCAGGGGGTGCTGTTGAAGTGGTCCAATGGGGATGCACAAAAGCTGTGCAGTTCAGCCATGCCACTGCCTACGGGGCACACTAAAGTGCTTCCACCACTGCTCATCCATAACTGAAAGGAAGGGTTGTAATATCTTTGCAGTCCCACACGCCCAATCCAAAGCCCACTAAATGCTGTAGAAAGGTCCCTGCCTGTTTCAGAGGATCAGTTTTCCATATGACTTAATCTCAAATCCATGTTACTTGGGCAATATTCCTTCTCCTCTGAAAACCGTGGAAGTCCTTAGGGAATGAAGTGAGCATGTCCTAGGCATGGTTTTGCCATAGTATTTGTATATTTTAAAATTAGGTCACTGATGAATTGAGAAAGTCTTGGCAAAACAAAAGCAACTAGAAATGAAAGACCAGCTCTTAATCTTTAACTGCATACTACATTTAAATGAAAAAGTCTGAATATTTCTGCTGAAAGCTGTCACTTCCAAGGCAGCTGTGAGACAATTCCTACTGTATTCACATGCTCACTAGAAAGTAAGGGCTATACTGCCACAAACCGACAGTTCCTCTTGATGGTAATGCCTGACTGCATTTGTAAGTCTATTCTAAACAACACAAGGGGAAATAATGACAACTTTCCAAGCAACTGCTTTCCCACACTCTACCAGCTCAGGAAGCGTGCGGGCAAATATACTGTCATCATTTCAGCCTTTCACATTAACATCCATTATTATTTCCACTCTTCTGACAGTTGTTTTAAGAAGTCACAATTTCACAATATCATCATGCACACACATTATCAATAAAACATCTGCATTTTGTTGTTTTGTTTTTAATATGTTTTGTCTTCAGTGAAAGTCCAGCTTTGACTTGATTTAAAACTTAAATCATAATATCTGGGAGCAGATTACAAAGGAAGAGAAATAAATCATTTTGCCTGTGTTTAAGAAAGCATAGGGTAGGAGTTTTTATTTGACAATTTAGAATACATGTCTTCCTCCATTCTGCCTTTGTCCATTGGTCTTTTTAGGATATAAAGAGTTTTCTTTAAATAGCAGCACAATGTATAAAGCACATGATTGCCTTTAACAGTGCTCCTTAATATGAATGGTCACCTAATACTAATCTTTAAAGTCAGTTCAGAGGAAAAATTATAATAAGCCCAAGGTAATCTTAATGACTAGGTATGACATGCCACAGTATTGCTTTCCAATAAATCATCTTTGGTATTCAGAGCAGCACTCAGTTTAATGTTAAAGCATATTAAAGTATGGAATCCTGTCCTCAATAAAGTCACTAAGAATTTTTTATTGACTTCAGCAGAAATGATATCTTACCCCAGATTTTCAAACTATGAGTCTGCATTTGGAAAGTGCAATTTTATATTCCATCGTATTTGCATTTTCGCTGACATTAAAACAAAGTTGAGACAGAATAAATAACAGCCTCTGTATTCACTGGGGGTTTTTTACCTCCGAGATAATCTATTTCAAATTCTGGTGGGTCAATGCAGAATCATAAAGTCTGGCAGTAGTTCAATGAACTTGTCATGGGAGTGAAGCAATTTATTTATCCATATGTGTGCAGATGGGGTAGAGAACATCATGAACAAAACTGCCCTCAGTAATGCTGACAGAGTCACTTCCTGACCACTTGTACTGATGCTGTTTTGACGCTGCTTTCTTTCCTTCTCTCCATATATATTCATATATGTGTGTGCATGGTGAAAACAGGCCACATACATATTCAAAATACTTCCCCAAAACAAAGAAGTATCTCTAAATGTAGTACCAGTAGTAGTAGTAGTAGGAGTAATAGTAATAATGATAATAATAATAAATAATAATAGGAAACAACTTCATAGCCACCGATTTCACAAAGGGGAAACCACTTCTGCCATTTATAGCCATAACTGGGTGGATCAAGCCCTGCCATTCCTAATTTTTTTCCCCATGGATTTTACTGAAAGTCCCTCCAGGGCGCAGCACCGCAGGGATACCCCACTTTCCACTGAGGAGAAGAGAGGGAGAAGGGGAGGGAGCTGGAAATGCCCCACTTCTTGTTTGCAGCAGGCTGATCCCAGAGCCACTGTGTGTGTAATGCCGTGGGGATCTCTGGGGACTCCTCCACGGTGTCCCTGTCCTACCAGACCTGGTGGTTGCTGTAACATGGCTGAGAGTAGAAACCTCATCAAGAGGGTTGAAGAATAATCATCGCTGGTTGAGACTTCGAAAAGAAAGGATTTAAGATGTAGCAGGGTAATGATGCAGAGGTGAGGACCTGCTATGCGTCATTTCTTAGTTACAGAACAAGGATTAGGGGTATCATTTTAATAGAAGGAACACGGGGGATTATACAGGCTATGGATCCATCCAGTAAACACTCCTCCCAAACCTTCACAAGGGTAGTAACAAATCCTGTGAGGCCTTTCAGCAGCAGCCTGGGAAAAAAATATAATTGTCTCTGCGATGCTTAACTTGTAACCTAATTCAAAGTCATTTTTTAAATTATACACCTACCTACTACCAGTGCAGTCTGAGTAGGCAAAATTAGTAACAGGCATGCTCAGTAAATCCAAGGTTTAAAGCTTTAGCGAGAATGTTACTAAGTTGAGTAATACTACCAGTCATGAGAATTACAGTTATCTGCCTCCTTATCTTTTCCTATTTATTTGATGGGGTTTATTTATTCTTACAGCACTAGCAAAATGGGACAGGTCTGGCAGAGGGAGGGACTATCTATATGCATGTGGCTGGTGGTGTTGTTGAGTTGCCTGCAGCAGCGGTGCCAGGGCACCCGGGCGCTGTGAAACACTGGTCTGGACAAGGAGGTGAAGAGAGAGGATTTACCACTTCATAGCAAGCCTGTTAAGAGATGAGAAAAGAGCAAAGCCTTCCAGGGCACAGCTCCCTCCCCAGGCATGTTATACATCCCCTTACAACTTGGAAGGCGCTGGGTGGATGATGCTGCAGTGGGGAGGAAAGCTTCAGGTTCAACTCCCCCACTCCTACATCGGCAGCTGATGATGGGCTCATTGGCAGGGACACTGCCAAAATTGTGGCACCCAAGGGTTAGTGCCCATGGCAAGGCAGTTGCAAAGGGAGATGGCTTGTGCCTGCCTGTGCTTCATCACCCACGAGCATGGATTGTGCACAGCCTGAACATCTGCTTTTTTACCCCAAATCCTTCTTTAAGAAAAGCTTCTGCTTTCAGCTTTGATGCTCTTCACTCAGGATCCTGGAGCTGACCAAAATGTGGCTATGCGCAGATGATACAAAACCCCACACGTCTACAGTCCTTATAGATAGATTACAGAAAGACTATCTTCCCAGCAAAATGTCAAAAAAGACTCAAAGAGGACCACATTATCCACCTACAAATTGGGCATTTAGCCCAAACGGTTTTCTATGCAAGTGCTATATGCAGGTAAACCATTTAACCTCATTTTCCCTGGGAAAGCTGAGGATCTAATTTAGCTTACTTAAAGGACTGAGATGTCTCACTCAGCGGCAATGCAGACAGCGGTTGCACATGGTGCAGGAAAGAACCACTCCTACAGTGACTTGCAGCTGATCTCCTAAAGAGACATCTATCTGAGACCTTTTGGGTGCTCTCATTCAAGAAATTCAGCCCTGACTTGAAGTAACAGTGTCCATCATGTAGTTTCTTTTTAATCCCATTCAAAATACTGCTGGCCCTGCACATGCTTTATTTTATTTCTGCAGACATGATGAAGCTACTGGCTATCATAAGAAAGGACAGAGGGGGCCTTCAAACCCAGTGCCGCTCTATACTTACGCTTTTGCTCTTTGCCCTTTCTTGCTGATTACACCAGGTTTTTAAATAGCTGCTTGGGATCTAATCTTAGCTGCTGTGTCAGCTGGCCCCTGCTGAGGCTTAAATCCTTCTGCTGACTATGAAAGTGTAGACTGAAGTCTCAAAAAGGAACAAGGCATTTTCCTTCTAGAGAGCAGAGTGTAGAGTGGGAATGAATAGGAAAGTGTTTCTTGTAGGAAAGTGAACAATGGCAAAGCACGAGAATATGGGCTGATGTACATTTTCTGTGGTCTCTTGCCCTCTGGCAGTTTGTTCCTTCTCTCTATGCTGGCTCCTCCATAGTGCCAACACAAGCACTTGCATGGCTGATGCATTGCAGTTCAGATCCAGCTGAACTGATCCATCTAAAAAATAACATTTTTTTTTTTTCTTTTTTGGACATGTTATGCCTACCAGATCATTTCCAGACTGTGTGACCTGGGTTTCAGAGCTGGGAACTGGAGCAAGATTTGTCACACAGGCAACTCAACAGCTCCATTAAACAAGGTTCCTGCTATGCCAAGCGTGTAATGGGACTTTCAGGGTCTTGTTCATTACCAGAACAGTATAAAAGTGTTCTGCGCTTCCAAACAGGAGGGCTGAGGGAAACGAGTTTCAGAGCCCACTGAAGCACCAAAACTGCAGGGGCTGTATCTGTGTCCTTCAAAGGCAAAGTCCTCACCAGAGCTAAGAAAACTCTCCCCATTCTCAATGCCAGCAACTTTGCTAGCATGAATACACTTTTTTTTTTTTTTTTTTCAACAACAAAAGTTACCATTGGGTTGGGAAATTCTCTTTGTTTTTTCCTTCTCTTCAAAGATGCCTCTGCTCATGATGAATCATTGGAAATGCCCATGCTCAGCTGGATGGGCAGAACGTGCAAGTCATCCTTCCAGCTACAAGCCACATGGCGGGCACACTTTCCTCCAGGCATGCCATGGTGAACGCCTCTCCGCACCGGTACACAAAGTCCCAGGGCAGGCAGGGC